TTCTTCAGTGATCTGATTGTTGTGGCATCTTGTCCAACGATCAACATGTCATCAACATAGAGCAGAAGTATGATAAAGTTTCCACCGGGAAATTTCCTGACATAAACACACTGATCTGCAGCAGTTCTCTTGTACTCATGACCTACCATGAATGATTCAAACTTCTTGTACCACTGTCTCAGCGCTTGTTTGAGGCCGTAGAGACTCTTCTTCAATCTGCAGACTAAGTTTTCTTTCCCTTTGACTTCAAAACCTTCTGGCTGCTACATGTAAATTTCTTCCTTCAGATCACCATGGAGAAATGCTGTCTTCACATCCATTTGTTCAAGTTCCAAATTCAAACTAGCTGCTAGTCCCAAAACTACTCGAATGGATGTCATTTTCACAACTGGCGAGAAGATTTCATCAAAATCAATACCTTTCTTCTGCCCAAAACCTTTGACAACCAATCGAGCCTTATACTTGACTAGCTTTCCGCTGCCATCTTTCTTCAACTTGAACACCCATTTGTTCTGCAATGCTTTTCGACCCTGGGGAAGTTTCACCAAATCATAAGTCTGATTCTTCTGCAAGGATTGCATCTCTTCTTGCATAGCTTGCTGCCAGCTACTCTTCTCCTTATGATTTTGAGCTTCTTGAAAACTTTCTGGCTCCCCCTCATCGGTAAGCAAAATATACTCAGAAGCAGGGTATTTGGTTGACGGCTTAAATTCTCTTGTTGATCTTCGTAACTGTGGACCAACAGTCTCTGGTAGAGGAGGTTGTGGCTCCCCCTGCTCAAAACCCTCTGCTTCTGGATCTTCTTCTTCTAGAAATCCATCCTGCAACTCTACATCATTGACTGCATGCTGCGGTAACTCTTCTTCATCAGTGGCATGCTGTGATGGTGCAGGGTATGGAATAATTTCTGAAACATCATCAACTTTGGGTTTGGCTGGTTGCCCAAAGTCTTCGAAGGTCTGGCCTTCTTAAAACACCACATCTCGGCTTCGAATGATCTTCTTGTTTTTCGGATCCCATAATCTGTATCCAAATTCTTCATCTCCATAGCCAATAAAGATGCATGGAGTGGCTTTGTCATCTAGCTTCTGCCTGTGCTCCTTGGATACATGTGCAAATGCTTTGCACCCAAACACTCTCAAGTGAGAGTAAGAGATCTCCCTTCCAGACCATACTTCTTCTGGAATCTGAAAATTCAGTGGAACTGATGGCGATCTGTTGATCAAATAGCAAGCAACACGAACAGCTTCTCCCCAAAATGGCTTTGGTAGCTTTGCCATTTTGAGCATACATCTGACCTTCTCTACAATGGTTCGGTTCATTTTCTCAGCTACACCATTGTGTTGTGGGGTTCCAGGAACAGTCTTCTCGTGCCGAATGCCGTGAGTAGCACAGTAGGCTTCAAATTCCTTTGACGTGTACTCGCCTCCATTGTCTGTTCGGAGACACTTCAGCTTCTTTCCGGTCTCCCTTTCCACCATAGCATAGAATGTCTGAAAATGCTGGAACACCTCAGCTTTGGTCTTTAAGACATAAACCCATACCTTCCGTGATGCATCATCAATGAACGTCAGAAAGTATTTTCTACCACCCAAAGATTCCACTTCTATAGGACCGCAAACATCAGAGTATACTCTGCTCAACAACTCTGATTGTCTTCTGGATGATGAATGGAAAGCGACTCTATGATGCTTCCCAAACGAGCAGTTGTCACAAGGATTTAATTTTGCATTTTTGGCAAAGGGAATAAGTGACTTCTTTGCCAAAATCTGCAACCCTTTCTCACTCATGTGACCTAGCCTTTTGTGCCACAAATTTGGTGATGCCTCATCTTCTACTGTATTGAGGCTATCTGAATTCACCTCCACATGAGTCTTGTACAGTGTGCCAATCGCTTGTCCTTTGGCTACCACCAGAGATCCCTTTTTCAACTTCCATATGCCTTTGTCGAAGTAGTTCTCATAGCCTTGTCGATCTAAGGCTATCCCTGAGATAAGATTCAGGCGTAAATCGGGAACATGCCTGACATCTTTCAACACCATCGTGCACCCAACTTTGGTTTGGATGAGAACATCACCAATTCCCACAATCTTCGAAAAACTGGAGTTACCCATCTTCACTGTACCAAAATCTCCAGCTTTGTACGTACTAAAGAACTCTTTCTAGGATGTAGCGTGGTAGGAAGCTGTTGTATCTACCACCCACTCGGTGTCGTTGTCTGACATATGGAGGCATTCTTCTTCTTCAACAGAGAATAATGCAATATCCTCTAAGACAGTAACTGCAGTGTTCCCATCTTCGGTCTTTGGCTGTTTATCGCATTGTTTTTGTTCTCTCTTCAAGGCATAGCAATATTTCTTTATGTGACCCTCCTGGCCACAATGGTAACGTTTGAACCTTGGCCGGCTCGTACCTTCTTTGGATTTCCCTCTGTCTTGAGATCTTCCTTTGCTGCGTCCTCTACTTTTGCTTTTTCCCATACCCTTGCCTCTGCTTTTATTTTCTGTGACGAGGGCATGGGATTAATCTCCACCCATTTTTTTCTTTCTTGCCTCTTCACTAAATAAAGCATCTGTAACCGTGCTCATGGTCAGTTTCCCTTCTGGGGCAGAGTTGTTGAGGGACACCACCAATGTCTCCCAACTGTCTGGCAAAGAACTGAGCAGCAATAGGGCCTGCATCTCATCATCTAACTCCATTTTGACAGTTGCTAGTTGGTTCACCAGATTTTGAAACTCATTAGTGTGTTCAGCAATAGAGATACTGCCTTTCAACTTCAAATTCACAAGTCTTCTCATCAAGAGGGCTTTGTTCCAAGCAGTCTTCGACTGGTACATGCCTTCTAACTTTGTCCAGAGAGCATAGGCATCAGTCTCCTGGGCGACATGGTGGAAGACACTGTGATCGATCCATTGTTTGATCTAGCCAATGGTCTTTCGGTTCTTCCGCTTCCAGTCTTCGTCTTTTTCCGTTGGTGGTTTAACTCCATTAAGCTCAATGGGGTCAAACAAATCTCGGCAGTACAAGACATCTTCCATTCTAGGCTTCCAAATGGCATAATTGGAAGCATTTAACTTTATCATGGAACCTGAAGTCGACGTTAATTCCTCCATCATACAAAAATGATCTCTGGCTGAAAAACAAGTTTTGCTGTGGAGTCCGGACTGGTCAAATTAGCCGGAAAAACACTTCGGATTGCCAAAAGAAAGACGGCAAATTTTTGAAAGCTGATTTGAAAAATATAACTGTACAGATGTGTCCGGAATATTCTAAATAGTTGGAAAGCACTATTGGATCACCCAAATTGGACCTCAAATGGCTTAGATCAAGCCAAAACAGATTAAATGGCTCAGATCGGCAGAATCTGGTACGGCTGAGAAGCACCAGATTATTTCTCCGGTTCGGCTGGCGTCGGGCTGACGTCAGCGGCTCAGTCAACGGCTCGGTCAGCGGCTTTGGCTTCGTCCCAGCTCGGCTTAACAGCTCGGCTTCGATCGGCTTGGTCAGCGGCTTGAAGGCTTGGTCAACGGCTCAGATTCGGCTCGGCTGATGACGTCGGCTGGCGCGCGCGCGTGCGGCACGTGTATGCGCGTGAAATCACGCTTCTTCTTCCTCTGGAAACGCATGAGACGCGTGTGAGGGTGGGGGCGCGTGGGAACGGCGTCACAAGGCGCGTGTGGCGCGTGTGTGGCCGTCCGATCTCCGTTTTCGACGTGGTTTTCGCCTCTATGATCGTCTTGTCGAGGGCTTTAAGTTGGTGTGATCAAAAGTGGATTTCGACCACTTTGATTTCTGGGCATTTCCGAAAAATGCACTATGTTTTTTCCAAAAGAGACTCAACCAACTCTGATACCACTTTGTTAGGATCAAACACACCCAGAAAAATTATCTCATACACACAGAGAACACAATATTTACGTGGTTCGGCCCAATGCCTACATCCACGGACAGAAATGAGAATTTTCACTAAAATGGAGCAAAATACAAATACAGAGGAGGAGATGAAACTCACTCAACTCATAGCTCTCACTCTCCAATTTCTGATACAAAACATCCTCTCCCTCCCGTCTCTATTTATACACAAAGAGTGGGAGAGAGAGATACACCATCCCACCAAAAAATTTCAACCCTCTTTAATGGTGAATGGTGAAAATCAACAAGGAACAGCAACGTGAAGAGAAGGGAAGAGACAAACTTGCAAATATGCCCAACGTAGACCTTCACTTCTAGTGAAGGTCTTCTTACGCCATCTTTTTTGACCCTCTGCTTGCTTGCATGGTTTTGCATGCATGGTTTTGCATGCATGTGGGTTGGAACAACACTAATGCCTTGTTCTACTCATATTTTTTTTCCTTCTCTCTCTATGTTTCTATGTTTCTCTCTCTTCCTGTACACGCTATACATATCCACAACCATTGCCAAAACAATAGTTGATGATGATGAATTTGGCAAAGCCAAGACTAAAAAGTTTTGTTTTTTGTTTATTTATTTGGGCTTTCGTTTCTTGATGTTTTTGTAGATGGATTTGTGTAAGTGTTTTTTTCTTTTTCTTTTTCTTTTTTTTTTGGGTATTTTTGTGAGGCGGGCTTATCAAATTTTGGACATTTGAAGTGTTAAAATTGAAATTATAAACATGATGAAAAGCACATTTCCAAATCTCTGAATTATGTCTGACCCACTTTGCTATTGAAGTTGTTGAGTGAGAGGTTCATGATTTTGATACCAAATAGAGGAGGGAAATTAGATTAAAAAAAAAACAAAAATCAGTTATGAGCAATCATGGAGGGGCTTGGCGGTGGTGCAGCAGAACTGGATGCCAGCAAGGGAAGGTGGGGAATGGATGCCAGTGCCGGCACTGGCTTGGCTGCCGTTGGGGCTAGGGTTTGTAGAACTTGTGGCGAGCTCTGTTTTCTTTTCCTTTTCCTTATTTATTTATTTATTTATTGAGTGTGTAGGAAACACTGCAGGAAAACCACTACAGAGGATTCATGGCCCAATATGCCATGCCCCTGGTCATGGAGAATGTTAATTCCAAAACCAAACTGTAAGTTTCCAAAAGCACTTTAAGAATCTAAAATATTAAACAGTGACAAATAAAGCATTGCCTCTCTATGATGCCAATGCATTCTTGATCCCTCTCTTGGTTTATTCTTCTCTGTCGCCACACCTTCCATCACTGCTCTTTCGACCCATCTACCTGGCTATTTTTTTTGTGTGAACTTGGAAAGATGATTCAATTGCTGCTTCCACTGGTGCTCATCGAGATGGGTCTGACTGTGATCCTCGTGTTCGACACGCCTGTAATAAGGAAACTTGTGATGATGGGGTTGGATAGGGTGAAGCAGGGGAGGGGACCGTTGATGGCGAAGACTGTTGCAGGAACATTGTTTGTGGTGTTCATCTCAAGCTTATATGGTGTGATGACAACCCAGAAGCGTATGATGGAAACAGGTTCGGTTAATCCAACGGATGAGGTTCTTCTTGCAACTAATCTGCTAGAAGCGTCAATCATGGGTATTAACTTCTTCTATTCACAGCCTTTGCAAATTCGTTTTAGTTTTTTCCAGGTTAGCGATTAAAGCTTTAAGGTGTCGTGTGGCAACTTGGCTTATTGACTTTTTTTTTACTTTTTTAGTCTGAACTTTTTTTGTCCGTTTGGTTTTCTTGTTTGACTATTTTAACTTTTTTTTTTTTTTTACATTGAAATAACAAAATTACCCTCCATTAGGAAATAATATTTTTTTGACTTTTTATTTGTATATAGGTCAATTTGGTAATTTTGCATCAAAAGCCAAGTGTTTTTGTCATTTTGTGATTTTTTGGCCTTTTTTTGTCATTATATGCTTATTTAGTCCCAATATATTTACCAAACCAAGGCTAATTCTGCCAAATTTAGGCCTTATTAAGCACATATTAAAATAATTAAAAAGTTAATACAAAAAAGTCAACTCATTGTCTCTATCTTTTTATACATATTTTCATAAAAAATTAAAACAACTACTTCAATTCTCAAGCAAATCCTTAGTATGGCTGTGATGTTTTTTTTATATATTTGATTGTGATTGTCAATTGTTTTTCCTAGTTATTTGGAGAGAGTGCAGTGTCTCCGCAATGTATTTATCTATGCATGATGAGAATCTTAAAATAAGAAAACAAAAATGATATAAACTCTAAATAAATTATCAAATGTTCTATCTAATAGTTACATGTGTGTGATTTCTTGTGGGTCCCGCATTCATGTGAATATTATGTAAAATATTTGACAATTCATTTGGGATTTCTAATATTACTCATAAGAAAATCTTTAGAGATACTCTCTGAATCAACCCAATCCAATCCAATCTGGATACGAGATTCTTTTATATTTAATTAAAATTTATCTTCTTATTTTATTTTATATATACATTTTTAAAATTATGTTTATACTCTTGTTAAAGAAAAAATTTGGACTTTTAGTCTGGAAAGATTTTTTTAGTTGGACCTTTATTTCAAAAATCTCTACACATAATCTTGTGACGGAGAGTTCATTTGCATAAGATAATAGAAATTTTGAATATAGAAAATCTCATTTCTATCAATATCCTTTTATACAATACATTCTTGTAAATCATAAATATACGATGTACCATGCTTTGGGTATTGCCCCCAACAGCATAAATATTTTTTTACCAATAACGCATCTAAAAATTTACCAAACATAAAAATTTTATTTTGAGAGAGCTGTTATATTAGTCTCATTAGTCCAAATCATTATTTTTGGGTCGCCCATTAAAATTCTAAGCATAATTTTTTGATCGATTCAGGATTCTCTCTATTCCTTGGATTGATTATTGATCGCCTACACTACCATATCAAAGAGCTTCATCTACTGAATAACAATTTGGATGAAGCCAAGCAACAATTACTGGGTTACAACAATTTGAAAAGCAGAGGCGTAGATGAGACTAAGGTGTTGAAGAAAGAAGTTTCTGTAAGCAGTACCAAGGACAAGCCACTCAAGTCTGAAAACAAGATCAAACTGCAAGAGGCCGACCCCAAGACCATAGCACGGCTTTGAAAAGAGCCATTTTTTTGTGGTTCAGGATTATCTCGTCATTAATGATCTCAATTATGATCGGCCAACTCAACAACAGTAAAACTCAAAATCTCATGATCTTGAAATTCTCCATTTCAATTGAATTGGTGAATTATAATTGATTGAAATCATTAATGATGTGACGGTCCTCAATATTTTCTTGTTAAAAAATAAAAAGCAATCACAAAATTATAATGATAATAATTAATAATTCTCATGAAATATGAGATTTTTATATTTTTAATTCAGTTGGATTGAGAAGGAAAACAAATTGTTTAACTTCCCAAAATATGTATATATATTATGTGTATTGTAAATTGTAAACTAATCCATATGTGTCCTGCAATTTGGACAAAAGATGTTTATTCTATTTATGATGTATGTGACCTTTAGAACATGTTCTTTAGTCCCTCCAAGAATCATGATGGAATCTTATATATGCATTGATTTGATTAAAAATGGTTTGTTTTATCCGCAAGGTGTGATCATGTGCCTACTATAATTACAATAAAACTTACCAAAGTTGACATGTCAATTGCTACTAGCTAGCATCCTGCAAAAAGTGATCAATGATCTCATACACAGCTCACTATTACCTCATTAAAGAGTAATATTCAGTATAAAATTATACTATGCCCTCAAATGACAACGGGTAAAAACTAATTCATCAATTGAATGGAAAACAACTACCGGGCTGGCCTTGTGGAGAAAGCAACTTTTCTTATGGAGGTGAGTTAGGTTTCACTTTTGGGGGGCGCGGCATGCGGGCTTTGTCCTGCGGTATTTTTTTTTTTTTTGAGATTTCGTATTATGCTTAAAACATGACTTCTTCTACGACACGTGGTTGAGTTCTATCGAGTGTTTCGGTGCTGGATCCTTTCTTATGAGTTAAGGTAAATTTGGCTCACAAACCGGAGCCTAAGGGTTGCAATGATGACACCAAACAATATCTTTTTTTTCCATTTCAAAAAAAAAAAAAAAAACTCTGAATGAAAGCCATGATCCAATATCATGAGTAAAAATTTAATATAAGAGTGATATCACGTTAACAGTAACACGTGATATTATCAATCAATAAGATACTGTGATATTAAATTTTTTTCCCTCATCGTGATAGAATTACACATTGAGGTGAGGATGCTATGGCATCCCCGCTTTTATCCTAACAAAAATTTATTATATAGCACTCGATAATTTTCAAAATAAATAAAGTTCTAACCCAATAAGATATACAAGTTTTCTTCGCATATTGGGTTGAGTTTCACTTGGTAAATAATTGAGTTGAAAAATACTAAAAAATTAATTAGGTACTGTTTGATAACACTTACGTTTTCAGTTTTCTGTTTATATTTATAAAAATTTTAAAAACTCAAATAAAAACTTGTTTGGTAAAATTTTTGATTTATAAATCAATGGTCTCAGTTTATAAATTTGGCCAAAAAATGAAAACACAAAAAATGTGTTTCCATTTTGAGTTTTCAGTTTTTTTTTTTTATCACCCAACATTAGCCACTACCCGCCACCATTTTCCACCACCACCACCCACCCTCCACCACCACTTGCCACCACCACTCACCACCCACCTGCTACCACTCGCCAACCTTCATTAAATTAAACATTTTATCACCATCTTGAAAAAAAAAACATTTTATTTTAATTTTTATTCTATCTCACTTCCTTCTTTATTTTCTCTCAACTAGTAACACTATTTTGCCCAACTATCGCACTGTTCTTTTTGTCTCAACCAACACTATCATCATTATTGTCTAAAAACATTGTTTGGTTTGTTTTTGGGAAAAATTTTTGAAAAAAATCTCTACAAACAAATTTTCAAGAATAATCAAACCAAACAATTTTTTTAAAAAAAAATCTCAAAATTTTGTTTGGTTTGCTTCTTTCTAAAATCACTCTCTCTCTCTCATACCATCAAATCAATCACTTTTTTTAAAACTCTCTCCCCAAAACAATTTCCCAAAACCATTTCTGAAAAAAGGCAAACCAAACAAGTTTTCGTACCTTT